AGAAAAAACGCGGGTTTTAAATCGAAGCGACCTAAGGATTCTATTTTTTACTCATAATAAGTTCCGGCAAATATTTCCGTTTAACGAACTTGAATATGAATCCTATTAATTCCGACTTGCTTGTAGCAGCTACCATTCACTTCAACTCAAGGAAGGCTTTCATTATTATGTGACACTTGGGGCCATCCTCCGGAAACCTTGAAACCACATTTAATGGGCCGTTGGAGACATTTAATGGTCTTAACTAATTTAAATTTACAATTGCGTTTGACTTTAAATTCTGAAAGTATGGGGGCGATGGGGGGCAGTGATCTACCTGTATGGCTAAAAAAAATAACGAGCGCTTACTGAGCCTTAAGAGTGCCTGTCAAGAAGGGGGTTTGAAGAATCCAACCTTCTCATTGAATTGGTCTTTCTCAAGATAAAATTTCGCACAATGAGGCATAGTTAACATTTCGTGTTTGAGTTAATTATACAAAAGTAACAATTTTCTGAAATGTTTTTACATTTTAGTCAAAATTATGATCGCAACTCTATTTGGGATAAGCTAGTTTTCCACAAAATCAGGAGGAGTTTCGGTGGACGCATCAGAATAGTAAATGTTGGAGGCGCACCAATTTCTGACGAGCTATTAAGATTCACTCGAGCTGTATTCTGTTGCCCAGTAAGTTTGGAACGAATCGATAACTTTTCTAATAACATCACTAGCATGATTCTTATGTTAAGTTCGAACTATACCTAAGCATCCGAATTAAGATTTTTAAAGCACTTAGGATACCATTACGGAACCAATTGCCTTGGATATTTCGAGAAAGTTCATTTCTATTTCTGTAGCAATCTGATTAGTACTTCTGTCTTTGGACGAAAGCATCTGTTTTTGAATACTCACTTCTATTTGCCGCTAACTTAGCAAGTTATTTTAGATCTACCCATCTGGGGATCTTTATGAAGGGTTACTTTCTGAACATCAATCCGAACTGAGTTGGCTTAAAATTTTCACTGAGGAATATTTTGCGGATCAGTGAGTGAGCTCTCAAGTGGTTTCGTTTAAAAATAATTGCTTGAGGTGTCTGCACTATCTTCGGCGCTAGTTTTGAAAGAGCCAATTCTAATTCACGACAAACCTAAAACCCCTCTATTCGATCGCTTCAGGTATTCGAAGTTTATGGCGCCACAGAAACATGTGGAGCTATTACGTGCGCACTGTTCAGTGATATGGAAGGGAACCACGTCGGACCACCTCTTCCTGGTTGTGAAATAAAACTCGTCAATGTTCCGAAGATGAATCTTAATGCTATCACGGACAACATTGGCGAGGTCAGATGACACCACAACATTCCGACAAATATTTCATTTCTTTACTTAATTTTGTAGGTCTGTGTCCGCGGAGCCGTTATAACACCTGGTTACTATAAACAGCCTGAACTAACAGCAAATTTGATTGATAATGATGGCTGGCTCCATATGGGAGATATTGGTGAATGGACTGAAGTGAGACACATTTTCCACCATTGTTACTTAAGTAATGTTGATTTTTGACAAATATCCTTTTTTCTGAAAGTACAATCAACTAAAAATTGTGGATAGATTGAAGCACATAATCAAACTCGCTCAAGGTGAATATGTTGTGCCGGGGAGGGTTGAACAAGTATACTCATCTAGTTATCTTGTTAATCAAATTTTTGTCGATGGTTCGACTTTGAGACCTTATCCCATCGCATTAGTGGTTCCGAATGGTGATTCCCTTTGTAAAGCTCTTAATCGACTTGACAAGAATCCCGAATTTATACGAAACCTCAGCAAACCTAGCGGCGAGAAAATAAAGCGTGCCAATACAACTCAATTTTTTAACCTCCATGGTACTTTGGTTTCAATGGAGCAATTGTGTGTTCATCCGGATGCTGAAAAACGTGTACTCGAAAATTTCAGAAAAGTGGCTAAACACGGTGGGCTCAAAGATTTTGAACAGGTTTGAACTAATATTTAAATTGTTTATTGCAATAGAATTCTTCTCTATTTCTGTGTTTAGGTTCGTGTTCTAAAACTCATTCCTGAAGAATTTTCTCTGGAGAACAGACTGCTTACTCCAACTCTAAAATGTGCAAGACATGCCATCCGAAGGAGGTACCAAGGAGAACTCAAGGAACTCTATAGCCGAAATGTACCTTTTCCGTGATTATTTCTCTCTACACCTATTAAAATGATAAGTAATAAGTGTTAACAACAACCTTTGCTGGAATGTTTCTTATCTGACTGAATGAATCGAAATAGTAATATTAAAATGATAGATTTATTGTGTGCTCAAATTTATTAGGAAATTAAGAATATGAAAAATAAATAGATATTCGTGTTTGAGTAAACTGATGGTCATAAAGCGGAATGTCAGCATTTAAAGAAACACACATTTCAGTTCGACCTTTTTGTGGAGAACGTGAGTTGAATTTGATTGAAATAATATCAGTCAAATTATTCGCATAAATGAAGTTGAGTGATAATATATCGTTATATTTTAACCATTTCATCAAATCGATTAATTTAGATAAACACAATAGAAACCAGTATGGTTTTTCAAAAAACACCAACAGTTTATTTATTTTGGACCAGATAGTAATGGTATATATAGGACACTGAACGGCTGATAAGATCATTTCGATTTAGAGATACTTGCTATAACACAAATCTAAATGTCATTATGCTGAACTTGATCGAAATTGAATCTATTTGATACTGGCTAATCAAAACTGTAATATTAAAGCATATAAAATTATAGATCAGTAAATAAAAATTACTTGAAAATCCCTACTGAAATCAAATTAAATTTTTGTTTGTATATATTACACCATTTAAATGGACCAAATACCTCGCCCTTACATGTCTCTACGAGAGTTTTATTAAAAGAATCATTCAACCTGCACTTTTCAAATATAGCATTTTATAGCGCGCTTACACATGCTGCTTAAATTGGAAGTACATTTTTTCATCAAAATTATATCAATCGCATGTTATACTGCTGATTTCAGTTAATTTCGCTATACCAACAAAGCATATGCTTTTGATGTATTCAAGAAAAATATCTTACTTTCTTTAGTGCAAGATTTGTCGGTTTGGCTCCATCCGTGTTCTATAACAGTGATTATTTACTTGTTGAAAAGCTTTGGTCATTTTAAAAATCGTAATTATTTAAATTTTCTATACCTTATTAATTCTCCCTTTACGTGTCTAGGAAGGTGCCTAAGTTCGGTTATTGTTACAAATGTCAACCACGGGGCTGGTAAATGAAAGCGCGAAATTGTTCTTGATACATTCGGGTGATTTTACTTTTCATTGGGTTTTATCTTCATTCCATTTTAGTTCAAAACGCAAATGCCAATATTTTTATTAGGTCATAGGACTTCTCTCGGTAACTATTCACACCCCCCCCCCTCCACTAAATCTCTTAATTTCGAACGCTTAATGTTGTAAATAAAGTAAACTGAAATTCCAAGTTCATTAACTCATTCGACTGTGGTTGCATTAATTCACAGTAACCTTCTAAATTTGAAGCTTTCTTAAATAAAATATAAAGTTTCTAGGATACTGTTGTTCTCTCAATCCGATTATGATGCTACATTCAATACAGCGGTTTCGAATATTCCATCTCGCGTCATTAGAAACTCACGACGATGTCTGCTATTCGACATCTTCGTTTGAAGATATTGCAAATTTTTAAAGCTTAATCAGCCATGCTTTTTTTACCAAGGCTAATTATTAAATTTAGAAGCGCTTTTCTTGATTAACTATTGGCCAATGGGAAAACAGTTCGGGTTGACAAATCATTGCATTTAATTGGCATCGATAAGAAAGATATTACTGTAGTATGCTAGAGTTTCAACCACGTTATTTATTGATACTATAGAACGTCAAGGTTTTTTAAATTCGTTTCATAGCATGGTTTATTCCAATTCCGATGTACTTGCCTAAGTCTATGAAATTGACAGAAAAGGCTTGGTCATGATTGTCAGGTGAAATCAGTGCAGGTGTTGCGGAGAACTATCAATCTGGAACGAGATCGGAACTGATGAATGTCAGATCCCACATGAGGATCACAATTTGCCTATGTTATTTGTTCTTTTAACGTAACTCTATGGGGACATTAGTTCCAAATGAAGAGCTCAAACCATGGATGCTAGAACAAACAGTGATGAAATATTTATAGCGACATTGGTATGTAAAATGCCAAAATCGACCGATAAAGCGACAGAATATTAATGAATAACAACTATATTAAAAATTTTCAAGTTTAGCTGTTAGCTAGACTGCTAATCGGGCCAATTAATATTGGTAAACTAAATGATTTGTAAGATTTTTATTTATTACCATTATTGCCAGTAATGAGAAAACATCATGACAAAACTAAAACAGATGTTACGCAGTAACATCTGTTTGGGGTTGTAAAAGATTATAATAAGTTGCTTCACATAAGAAAATACCAAATAAATTAATTAGTTGGGCATGCAATGGGTATACCATGTAATTATGTTATTAAACACTCTATGCGCTTTAAAGCCTTGCCACGACAATATCTAATAAATTTTAATGAGTTTTGCTCTTTATTTGTATTTCTTTTTCATTTATAAAATATTTGACCATATAGAACGCTTCAATCTTAAACCACTTAAATTTTTCATGCATTTATTTAGATTCAGGAAGCTTTATGTTGAAGGAAAGGTATTTAATTAATGGTGTAACATAAATAATAAAACTTTCCCATATAGAATCATCATGCTTAATAATATTAATTAATACTTACCACTTAACCCATACTAATACTGCAATGCTCAAGCAAACTAAAACTGCAGTAGGAGTAATCACTATTCCGATAATTATTTTTTGTCCAATAATCTATGGAAAGAAATAAGTAATTTGTAATAAAAGTGCCGTAGGGAAAATATAATGAATTTACGAAATTAAGAAGCATACATAAAAGTAAAAACAAGATAAATTCATTTAATAAATTTATAACTTTAGGCTTCTTTCTGAATATTAAGCTTTAGATTAATAAACGCATAGTTCTTTTAATTTATACTTAAACATGGCCTTGGGGTAAAGTTATTTCATTTACAGTTTTGATTTGCTAGTGTTCTCTTGTAGTAGTTTGTAATTTCTCCATTAAATGCTCCTTACATTTTCATGTGATACATTTTAAAATGTTTTAGATAATTTTCAACACCATAATAAATAAAAGAAAGCATAATTTTTTCGATGACAGAATGAAGTTATCAGAATAAAGAATTTTACTTGTAGTAAATAAATAATTCAATCTTTTATGTATTTAATTGTTCCCTGAGTGGCCGAAATTATTGTAAGAATTTGATTCATTTATTTTGGACATAGTTCTTTCGTCGTCGCTTTGTATGAATATCTTACCATAATTATTTCGAGTTTCTCAGATATATTGTATTTTAATTTCAGAGCCAACACCTTGAAGTATGTTCTCTTTATTTGGCTCTCAACCATTTGAAATTGTCTCAAAAATTTCTAATGATGGATATTTGTTCGAAGCCGAGGTTTGTGGAAATCTTTGCCATCATTGTTTATTAGTTTTTGAATATTAAGCCATCCAAGTATTTAATTATTTATGCTTTGTTTGCCCCTCATAGCAAGGCGTTCGTCGTTCCCAATTTTCTAAAGAACCGAAACTTCCTGAAGTTCTTGATGAGCGCTTAACTACCGTCCATGACTTACTTCTTGAGGCAGTGCTAGTTGCAGGTTTTTGATTGCTTCTAATTTATTTTCTTCCTTCTTTATCTACTTACAAATTGCCATATTTACTGAAATCTACGCTTAGATTATTTGTAACGAACATTTCTTCTCAGGCCAGCAACCGTTCCTTGGTAGCCATTCCAAACCTTCAGATCCTTACTCTTGGTTGACATTCAAAGGAGTAATTTAGACATTTCCTTTTAAAAATTCTCTTCTTTCCTCACAAATAAATTTTTAATGCCTCTTTGATACTTTGACTTACTCTAGACTTATGAAAGGGCGTGCGATTTGGGATCTGCTCTGATTAATGTCTGTGGGTTGGATAACAAATCTGAAACTGGAAGATGTGTCGGTATCTATGGCAAAAATTGTGTTGACGTAAGTAATTTTTTCCATTTTTACTCCATATTCAAACTTCCAATATCTTTTGCAATTTGTAAATCAAGATTTAATTGTGTCCTGTCTTATAACGGCTATTAAACTGCCTTTAAAACTGAATCTTCAGCGTTTTAAATGTACAAAATTAAATAATTTTCACTCTTCATCATTCGTACTCATTTATTTATATAAGTAAATTTCCCGACTTAAACTCAACTGTCATGGTGTTGTAAGTTTGGACGTTTTTCTACGCGAATAGTAAATTTGCCTCTGACTATAAACTGTTTATTTCATCTTAGTATTCTACATGAGTTAAAACTTAACAAGGAGGTGTGGTTTTAAAATGGTTTAAAGCTTCTTTCAATCATCGTGTTCTCAGGGCCCAAGATATTTGAATTACCTGATTTTCTCTGGTTCTTAATAATAACATTGGAGAATGATTCCATTTTGAAAATATAATTATTATAATTATGTAACAATATGATTATTGGTTTCGCTTCTCATAATGTACTTTTTATTTTTTAACCAATAAATTTTACTTCCCATTTTGAGCCTTGTAATAATTGTGTTACTACCATTTCATAGTTAATTTCTGGAGCTATTTACTTTGAAACTTTTGTGAATTCGCATAGATATACGACTACTTGATTTACTTTTTTTTCAAAAGCGTGTCTCCCACATCACCATTTAGCACATATGCGGCCATGGCTTTTTTCGAATCCTTGCTAACTTTTTACCCTTTTCGTTGTAAATTGTCTTAAATAAATACAGTGCTTCTTTTACATTTGCTATTGTTTATTCACTGCACATCGCGAAGTCCAGTTTTCATGCCACAGTTACTATTTACTGTCATTTATATGAAAATACTATTTCGAGTGAAGGTTTTTTATTACTCGACATAGCTTTAAGTGGCTATAAATACTCTATCAGTATTGGAGATCTCAATCACATAGAATATTGAACTGATTTACACCTTAAGACGAGCGTTGGAATATTGAGGAATATGCATTAGACTACATGTATAGTGAGTGAATTGAATGTTTTCTTTTGTTTGCAAATATGGTTGTGCATAATGACACGTGAAGTCGATTAGTCGGGTCGCCTCGTCTAAAAGCGTATTTATCGTACGATCAGCCATAGGGAGACCTTGAAACAACTACCTTAAATTAAACTATCACCCGATGTCTATAAAGGTGAGTATCTCCCAGTTCTTTGTGTGTTCTTTTTGTAACCAGCCAATAGACTAGAACTAGTATTGAATGTGAGCTTTAGTTTGAGTGATGATTTGTACAATGATCGACCGCTTTCCAGCACATTTGCGCTCAGAGATTCGTTGATCACTTACCTACTGGTAATAATTTGTATGTTGATAGGAAAAAAACAAAAATATGAAAGTCTCCAACGGAGTTGTAGCTGAACATAGTTATCTCTATCTGTGATCTCCTTTAACGACAACTCATGTGCTGAGTGTTTAAATTTCTGGGAATTTTTATCTTGTCTCGCAGGGTTATTTCGAATAACCCATTTGTCACCTTAGTTACCTCTGGTGGGGGTGGGGAGAGGGGTGGATTTCGTGCCGTTCTATTTTCAAAGGTGATTGTGGGTGAAGTGTATATTGGTTTTGAAATACCCCTTGACATTTACTGTTGAATTTTGTATGTGTGTATGTAGCGAATGTATTTTTATTTTGAAATGGCTTCTCTGCTTGGTAATTTTATACAACCAACGTTACTCCACCTCGAATAAGGTCGACATCTTTGTTGCTCTGGGGGTCCCTCGCTCACGTCCACACTCGTCTCGCAAGAGAGTCCTTTGTTTGGTAGGGTTGTACGCTCAACAAAATTATTCTTCTACTTATTGAAATCGATTAATCGAGGTCACTACAGTTTTCATCGCCACTGTGTGTTCAAGATAAGTGAACTTCATAGAATGATGGAGATTTAGGTAAAAATTTTGGTACCACATAGATGTTCAACTATCATTTATAAATCATCTGAAATCACAGATACTATAATTTTCCTCTTATCGTTATAGTTGTAGAGAGCTTAGTAATTTTCTTCGCCACCGGAAGTGCGGAAATTGTCCATCAGCTGAGCTAAAAGCATTACTTTGTTGATCTAAATACAAACATAATAATCTCGCCACGTATGTTTCTAGTCGCTTTTGCTTTTCATCAATAAACTACTCTCTTATCCAAATAGTTACTCTTCAGCTCAATATTTATGTCAAATGACAGGCTTTATGTTGGTTATCATTAGCCCTTTTGTTGTCTTCGGGCTTCACAGAGGGGAAGGAACACCAAAGTCATAAAAATGAAGAGGGGGCAGAAGAGTGATTCACTGATGCAAAAGAGACAGACAGACAGACACAAAGGCAGAGAAAAGGTAAGTGGGTGCTGTGGAAGTTGCCGAATATGGCATACAGTGGGGCCATGGTAGTTTGAAGTCAGAAGTCAACTGCCGGTTTATAGACTATTTTGCCATATGAGTGCCCGTTGCCCACACCCCCCCCCTTCTCCTCCAAGCTCAATATTGAAAACATCAAACTCAATAATCCGCAGTTCAACCTGCTCTACTATGAGGCATTGCTTTACAATTAATTACAAGAGAAAATGAGCTTAGGGCGAAAAATAATCGACTTTCTTACAATGTCCTTTCAACTTAACCAATCTTCAAATTTGGGGCACAATCTCATGCATTCCCATGCAATGCTTCAACTTTTAGGAGTCTCCACTAAATCCAAGCTCCATAGAATGCGTCATAACCTTCTAAATACATCACGGTATCTCTGGCAATGATCCACCATTCGAGCTCAAAATTGTTAATTATTATTAATAGGTCTAATAATGCGTCAAATCGTTATTTTAATTATTCCAGGATAAAAATATTAACCTATTTTTTTCAAAAAGTTCTAATACAGCCTATGCTACAACTAGTGCAGCGTTTGTGCCATAGAGCTAACTTCCTTCCGAGGTTAATTGATAGGGAGGCAACAGTGACGCCATTTCATTTCTAAATTCAAGTGTGGAAATGCAATGAACGAAGCACTGAAATGTCCGGTTCGGCTTAATAGATTATTGGGTCGGGTATAGTTACTTAATTACTTACTGTTCTTAAAGATGTTCTATTCACCAGTTCAGGTTCTGAGGTTCAAATTTCCTGATCACAAAACAACTTCTTTTCCACAATATTCACTGTTTACGGTATCATTTATTGGGATGCTTGATTCTTTACCATTGTATGGTATTTCTTTTGAGAGGTCTTGGATTTGTGTTCCCTTTTGTTGGTACTTGTTCCTTCTCCTTTGTCAATAGCATTGTTTCTGCATGCCAAATTTGACCTCGATGAGTCACCATTGCCATGTTGTCTCCGTTTAAATTCATATTCATGCATTTCTCAAGTCCTTTTCACTGAGTCACAAACGAGTTCGCATAAACTACCTAATTCGAATGAATAAACATGACTTATTCTCCTCAAGAATTCGTTCAGTTATTAGGTTTCTGTCAATTTTTTTATTGGGTTCATTACATCATAAAACTTTAGTAGGCAGGGGAAGCGGAATGGGAATTTTGTTCTTGGGATCAACAGCTATAGTGCGCCTAGTGCTACTTTTTCTTTAAGAACTTCATGACTTAAGCGTCAGTGAGTGACCCATTCAGTCGAAACTCGGTTTGAAAGGCACCTGGTCAGTGACTGTCTCTCCCCCCCCCGCCCCCCCCCATCCCAGTTGTAATGGCACATTTCCGTGTGCTTTTTTATTTCTGCAGATTTGTAGAAGGCATGCATCCAAATTTGTTTAAGTTTTAAACATGCGAACTCACACGACGTAAATGATTGTAATCATGAATTTGCTAGTTATAACTCATTAGTCTCTTAAGAAGTTGCGGCAATTATCGATCAGAAATCAGTCAGGGCTAAGTCGCACTTGTTTCCTCACCTCAACTCCTTCTGCTTTTTCCTTTAGTGGGTCGTGACAGAATTTGCGTGCGCTACCTATGGTCTAGTAGTTGTACCACTCTACGATACTCTTGGGGAGGAAGCCCTGAAGCATATTTGCAATCATTGTGAGTTGGATTAAGAATCATAATGTTTACTTAAAATTAGAATGCAAGATCGATTTTAATGTTCTTTTTTTATTATTTTACCCTCTTTTTGCCAACACACAGCTGAACTAACGGCATGTGTTTGTGTATCACCCGACTTGGTTGAGAAGTTGTTGGAATTGAAATCCGGTCACTTGAAACATATCATCCTTATTCAGTCGAATGCGTCAGTGCTGGAGAATTTGCGTGTAAAGGCAGATAAACGTGTACAAATCCACGCCTTTTCGGATCTGCTAGTAAGTTATTTGCAGTCCCTCTCTCTCTCTCTCTAAAGTCTGACCTCCTAAGGTTAGGCTAAACGTGTGTCTTTCGTCCTCGTTTCATCTTCGCCCTCCGCCAATAGCAATTACTTATGTCCAACCCTATTTTTCGTGTTTTAGATTAAGGGAAATGAGAATCAATGTACTCCTGATGTAAGTAGCTACATTCATTTAAGTTAATTTGAATGATCGAATTTGCATCTAGACACTATTTGTTTCCTATTATAGCCCTCGACTGTAGAGGACCAGGTACTTATCTGCTATACTAGTGGAACTACAGGTAATCTTCCCCTCTTACGGATTTTAATTTAGCTGAGCATCAATATGTCTACAAAGCGTTCATAGTTAAAAGATAGTTTTTCTCGTCGGCTGTATTTTACAGAAGAGATGGGATGCCTCATAATTATTCTTGTTAATCAGGCAATGTGTGAGCCAATTCTAAAAAAACATTTTGGATAATACTGCGGTTGCACTTGCTCAAACATGAGCCAATCTTTGCGTGCTTTTGGTATATTTTTTGCCACCAGGACAACGCTAAGTATGCCCCTCAAAAGCCAGAGGTTGTAGAAACCCAGGCTGATCAATTGTAAAGAGTCAAGTATAACTCAAGTAGCTCCCCTGTCCAGCGCTTCCTTGTCTTGAGGTTTTACAAAACCCTACTTTCCGTTTATTTTATTGGATATTAGTGTTGGGTACTCGATGTTTATATTCCAAAACCTAAGGAAAGAAGAAGGTATTTTCCAACTCTTGTCTTGAGTTAAGGATCGACATCATGAAGTATCTTTTGGAGAGAGCATCCAAACACATGTAGTCAAATTGAGGCCACTAGTAATGTGGAGTCAATTTCAAGTGGTTAATGAAGCCAAGGGTTAAAGACCTTGTGTTGATTTCAATTTTAGTGTGTTTGCTATCTAACTTCTAGTAAGGTGTGCGGCTTTCATTTAGGTTGGATCTTCGATAATTCTCTTTGATAGCTTAGATTCGAAACTTTTTAATAAAAAGCTCCTTTTATTCTCATATACAGGAACACCTAAAGGTGTTATTGTCACAAATAAGATGCTAATCGCCACAGTTACAAGCACAATGATGAATACCAATCTAACAGTAAGTTTATGGCTCTGCATAACTTAACACCTTAACTTCCTTAGTAAATCCAATGTCACCTTTTCCCAATAGCTTTTTACTCAAAATGATGTCTACTTATCATTTCTTCCTCTGGCCCATATCTTTGAACAATTCAATGTGGTGAGTGTGATGAGATATTTTTAAGGTCTAGTAAGATGCCAATTGGGGTTATTTGTTTACGCAAATTCCAAGGTGTGATGCGGTGGATATTTTGCTATTTCTTACTTAATAATGGTTGTGATGATCAACACTTTAATTGATAATGATCCCTAGTAGTTTTTCTTGAGTCAATTTATTTTCAGCTTTAAATGTAGATGGATATTTGACGCTTGATGTGATTGTATCAAATGCTGGGTATTATTTACATTGAATTATCGGAAATATCTATTACAGAAAGTTGGTGTTGATGTAGGTTAACTTTTTGCAATGACATGCAGCACTCATCTTGGGTAGAGAGTGGCCTCGCTGGTGAGAGTCTCGGCTTCTGCGGTTAGCCACTCACTTCGTCGTGTGCGCTTACTGGAATAGCATCTGTTACCTTCTACATGGCAGGCGAGCACAGTGACCAATGCCAACTGACACACAAGCAGATATTACTTCTCATTCATTAATACAGTGGGGTCGCGATGGCTAGTTATATGTTCCATTTAGGCGAAGCTCTGGGTCTTAACTCGATTGAATTATCATCATCTTTAGTTTTACAGATGGATTTCCGAAGTCAAGGCTATGAGTGTTGCAGATTTTCAAAGAACTTCTTGGAGAAAGTTCTAACAGAGGTTGTTGCGCAATGTTGTCAATATATTGTTTAGTCATGATCTAAGTAATTATAACAAAATTTTCTTTGACGGGTTATACATGCTTAAAAAAGCAATCTTTGCGACTAAAATAACGTAATGCATCTTCGCATTACTTTACTTTAGATGCTAGCCCTGAATGCACGTGGTCGGATTGGTTTCTACAGTGGTGAAATAACATCACTTCAAGCTGATGCCCACACACTGCAACCAACCATCTTCATCGCGGTTCCGCGAGTATTGGCACGTATCCGGCAGGCCATTTTCAAAAATGTCGCGACTTCAAAACTCAAGACATCCCTCATTAAGACTGCTGTCATTCGTAAACTCAAGACAGTAGATAAGTACGTGTCGCCAATTAGTGTATTCCTTTATACGCTACCACGTAGTTTCATCTGATCTGGTGACTTTTAGGCAGATCTATCAGCACAATACCATGTGGGATCAACTTGTTTTCTCCAAAATACGAAAGCGATTTGGGGGTCGTATTCGTCTAATAATTACGGCGGGTGCACCTATATCTGGTGATCTGCTGCAATTCATTCGAGCCGCCTTTTGTTGTCCTGTCTTTGAGGGCTACGGTTCTACGGAAACCTGTGGTGCTATTACGTGTTCCATTTTTGGGGATTTAGCTGGGGGTCATGTTGGACCCCCACTTCCTGGTTGTGAAATAAAACTCGTTGATGTACCCAGCATGGATCTTGTGACGTCTAGAGATAACAAGGGCGAAGTATGCATATTTAATCTACTTATTCTATTTTAAGTAGCGTTTTATTAATAGTCATTATTTTTTGCAGATTTGCTGTCGAGGACCCGTAGTGACCCCTGGGTACTTTAGACAACCTGAATTGACAGAGGATTTAATAGACAAGGATGGTTGGCTTCACATGGGTGATATTGGCGAGTGGGCTGAAGTGTGTATTCGCTTTACTACTGAACTTACTTGCATTGACCTATCTAACTTTTATCTCTACAATGTTAGGGTAATCGCCTTAAAATTGTTGATCGACTGAAGCATATTTTCAAGCTCTCTCAAGGTGAATACGTTGCACCGGAGAAGGTGGAACAAGTGTATACACATAGTTCTCTAGTGTCTCAGGTATTCGTAGATGGATCACCGTTGAAATCGTATCCAGTTGCGCTAGTAGTCCCAGATGGTGAAACCCTTTGCAAGGCTATTAATAGCATTGAGCAGGGAGCAAGGAACAGTAGCAATGGGTCAAGGAAGAGACCGAAGCGAAATAGCAAAAAAAGAAAGTCTGGTGATACTGACACTACGGAAAAGTTCAATCTTAGGGGAAATTTGATCACCCTGGAAGAGTTATGCAACAATCCCGAGGCCGAGCGCCTTATCTTCAGTGAATTATCGCAATTGGGGAGAAGTAGCGGACTTAAAGGGTTTGAGCAGGTATGCGGTGGAACTATTTACCCTTGAACATACGAACCAATTGAGTTCACGTTTCCTCATGATCAAAATTACTCCTTTTTTCTTCTCGATATAGGTTCGTGTAATAAAATTAATTCCTGAAGCATTTACATTGGAGAATCGGCTACTTACTCCTACTTTGAAGTGTGCCCGTCATGCCATTCGAAAGAGGTACCAAGAAGAACTTAAACAGCTCTACACCCGAAAGGAGCTCGACTAGGTTACCCTGGTTCCTTGTCTCATTCAATAACCCGAATTTCTTTATTTTACCGTATTTTGTGTTCGTCACTTTACTAGTCTTACAACATCCAATTTGGAAACTCAATTCTATTCGTTTATCACGTTTTTTCATCGGTATACGTATTGATTCATTTACCAATAAATATTTAATCCCAATCCTGCAATTTAATATATCAAATGGTGATTAATGTCTTATAAATTGCTTCAAGTTATCTACAATCACAAAATTCCCTATAGTTTCGGTCACTAGCTAAACGCTTTAAGGCCCCAAAATCTTTAGTGGTAAGACCGAGAATATTCGTTTTCGGTGGCATGAGTAAATTCGATCTTGTGGTGGAAATTTTAGTAAAGTTCACCAGGAATTTAATTAGACGGAAGTTCTTAATCTTTAAGATTAGCGACACACGTGATGCGAAAGTGCGGTACTAAATCATGCTTCAACTCGCACTTCAAGATTTCACTCCATAACAGCAACTAATTTTCGATACTTTGAAAGCGCCTTTTAATTAACACGTTTTCGTGGAAAATGAGATTAAACCGCGAGTATCACAACCATATGGTCTTAAATCACAACCTTAGCAGTTCGTCAAGATGACAGAAATACGCTTAAGTGTTTGGTAGTAAATTACGACCCCCACACGTAATTAGGAGTATGGCGTTTAAAAGTATTTAGAAGTGAGAACAAAAAACGTAAGAACACAAAAGTATATTGTGCAACATAACAAAACGAAAACAGTGTAGAAAAAGCATGCAATAAAATAACGTTAAAATAAAAAAGCAGTGATTAGGAAAGTATAAACTTAACGCCAACTCGTATGTAGCGATAAATAACTATTAAATTATGAAATTGGCGATATCAACTTAAACCTAGACCCTACACTTAATCATGCCTTCATGCGCCCTAGAATGCTTACCAGCTTACGGACACTCACGTCATAAACCAAATCATGTCAACATTTTGAAAAGTTAATTTGACGCATGTTCTTTTCGGGAATTCATTCTTTGCCATTTATTCTCAGAGGTTCGATTCGCTAAATTCTTCTCACATCTAGGAATTTGCTAAAGATCTTCAGTTTCCTATTCATATTCATACTGCAAAAAGAGAAAAACGGGTCAGACGAAGATTAAACACAAAAAACCAGAATTTATTTTGCATTTAAAAACAACCGGAGAAGCAAATTGAGTGTGGATTACCTGTGTATAGCAATGAGGCAGATGAATTTATACAGCAAATTCTTTTTGGTAGGTAAAATAATAAATGCAATGTTTTCTTAATCATAGCTCCTAGAGCGTGAACGAGAGCGCGAGTAGCGACGTCTGGGACTAGGTGAACGACGACGACCAAAACGCCTAAAAATGATTCATCCACAGATTAAGCACATTTAAAAAATAATCATCAATAAAAGTACAGTTAAAGCTAACCTTGATGGTCTGCCCATATAAACACCAGGCGTTGGAGAATGAGGGCGCTGAGTGACACTGTAATCAACCCGAATGGGACGACCATCGATTTCCATCCCATGTGCGTCGTGCTTCGCTTCTTTGGCATCAGCAAGGTGCTTCATATAAACAAAGCCAAATCCCCTCGAATTCCCGGTAACACTGTCGTAGACAATGGTTACATCAGTAACTTCGCCGTAACGAGAAAATACTTCATAGAGATCCTTTTCGGATGTGTTTATTGACAACCCAAAGACACCAATGCATTTTGAAGGTTGGGGATGATCCCTCGGCGCTGTGCGTCGATAGCCATAACTACTAGGGTAACCACTAAAATTAAAAACGTAATTAAACAATGTTAATAATATGATAAGCACAATGGATATAGCATACCGGCGCGACCTATAACCCCTACTGCTGCTTCGGCTTTTTCGCCTACGATATGAACGGGATTGAGACCTAGAACTTCTAGAACCAGGAACTGAAAAAAATAACGAGCCTTACCTTGATCTAGAACGACTTCGCTCCCTGGACTTGCTCCTATCACGGGAACGGAAAGAATCATCACGACGATAACTTGTTGACGGAGAGCGAGAGCGCATCACTATGGCACAAAAGAAGAAGTGAAAGCAAATCAACTTAAACAACACATGCGTTGCTTAAGTGGTTTAACATTAAAATAACAACAATTTCAAGGAAATATTGCCTTAAAAATCATATATTTTTCAGTTAAAAAAATCACATTTATCACAAAATAAAATATCATGTAAATGGTACGTACCAATCTTGAAAGCAGATAAAGATTTATAATGAATAACTCAAATATTCACATTCATTTTATTTAAATTAGTTTTAATTTACAAGTTAGTTCAGTTCAGCCTTTATGGTTTCATTATTCAAAAACAAAAGGCCCATTAACTACCATTTCTAAAATATTCTTTTTGTATGATTACACTCAATGTTAATCTTCTAAAGTCTATCTAAATTTTAAGCTTTATGCATATATAACTAAGCTTTTCAAATGAGAACAACTACTGTCAACTTTGATTAGTAAAGAATACAAATTACCTTTGCATGAAAACTAAAATTTCACTTACGCTGCCACTTTACTTTAATTCGTTAGCACGCAACTGTTGCCTATTTTTTTTAAATAAAATCTCAACGCAGATTGAGCTCACATTGCCCAAACGTGAGCATATTTCATTCAAATTTAAATGATTAATCATTTTAATCAGTTCCATAATTACAAATAAAGTATAAGAAACATCATCTTCATATTCTCATGTCGTGAGCCAATTACATGCCCTCACAACTATAAAACCATTAGCAGCTTGCCCCGGAAATAGACATTAATATATTGGCAGTCAAATGTATATTTTGTTATGATTTCAAAATTGCAATTATTTGCTATGAAATCCATAATTTGAAATAATGGGGAATCATATCGGTCTTCGAGAATATTTTTTTTATTTCCTTCTTTTTTAAATCTACGAAAATTGCCTCAGAGTATGTGATAGTTTGCTTTATGATATTCGCAAAGGGAATATAAAGAAATAATGATTCATTTCAGCTCAAGTGAGTGCAATAATAATAACAAAAGTTATTAAACTCGGATTGCAAACTGTCTTCAAAAAATCTTAGGACAGACTGGAGGATAATGTTGGTTACATTATGAGGAGGCGGTTAGAATATAAGCTACTGAAAAGCTAATAATCCATTTGCAAGGTGGTAAACGGTTTGCTTATTTTGCGGTATCGTTTGGCTAATTGCGTTACTGTTTTTTCGGCAATCAAGCTTAACTTGCTTTTACGTTTGATAAGCGCCAAAACTGCCAAACCAGTTGGACACTGTTATTGTTTAAGTGTTTAATGGTAATTTTGTCGATATTCTAACATGAATTACTTGCCTTATTAAGGTTCCACGCAATAAAATAAATCACGGAAATGAATCATTTTTTATTTTAGTTATAGCCCTTGGATATCGAGGACCTGTAGTAATGAAGTTTAAATACCAAGTAGATTAAAATACTTTTATTTTCATTGATTTATTTCATACGAAGATGATAAATTCTTATTATAAATTTAGATGATATTCTTATCAATATGTCATACTCTATTTGGGTTATTATTTATTTATGTTGCTAAAGCTAAATAAATTATACCTCATATTCAAGGAAACGATCTCAATTCCTAATAGTTCAAGATTTTCTCACTGATATTAATAAGGCGATTGCAGGAATATCCCGCTGACGAAATTTGGGCACTCAAGGTCAACTTTTCGACAATTAATTTGTTAGCGGTAGTATTGTTGTATTACAGAATTTGTAATCTATAGACGCTTATTCGTGAATGTTGTTTCGATGGATGCTGATCTAGATACTCTCCGCAAAACACTTGCTGACATTATTGAATTAATTTCTCTCACACCGGAAAAAGAAGCTAAAGATTTGCTTGAACTTAAAGCAAATATCGCTGAAGTAATCGCTTTAAAGGAATCAAGATCAGAAAATCCGCCTAGAGATTCTGATGACATAACGTCAGATATATTCTCCCATTTACTCGATGACGACGTACCTGGTTCTCAGGCTCTTATTTTGAATATTTAAATCTTTAACATAGGTAGTCGTTGTTCCATTATGGGGTGGACTTCGCGTGGGTACTTTGTTCATCAAAATGCCATAGTAGCAGAGGTCTTGCGAATTAGCCAAAATGAGAGGAAAATGCGATTGTATATGGCTAACCCCACTAAAATAGGTGAAATTCCGTGTACGTCCTACTTAAAACACCACGAATGTCCTAAAGGCTCACTATGTAGATTTAGTCACGGCACTATTGCCGCCTCTGAGGTAAGCTTTCCTTGCTTCCCTTTTCCAATCTTTCCTTTGTGCATGTAGGATTTATGTGATTGGTATGAGCCAGAGGCAGAACTTTACTTAAAAGAGAAACAACTGTGCTTAGCTCTACCAACAACTCCAGGACTTCCTCTATGGAGACACGGCTATATCAGACACACAGATGTAGACGCTGGAACATGTGTTATCGAATGGATAAGCGTGTCGCCAAATGCCAACCATATGGAAAGTGCAGTCAGTCTGCCTTTCACTCATATCTACCCTATTCCTGATTCCGGATCAGAACATACCAATCTGAGGTCCTGTGATTCATCGGGACTTTTAGAAACCTATTCAGAAGACGATGATGATCTTACACTCGATTTTACAGACGAAGACAATTTACAGGTTAGTTAAAAATATAAGCACTTTATTAAATATAAAACAATACTATAGATACATGATTTTCGCTGATAAAATTTTGTTCGCATCAGACCGCGCAACAGCACAAAGTATACTTCAGTCTTAGTGAAGTTTTGCAACCAGGATGCGACGAGGTGAAATCTGCTAACCTCCCTCCACCAAGCGACATTGGAGAGCCAGATTTACCTCTAGGGGCTTGGGAGTCCCACACTCGAGGCATAGGATCACGACTTATGCAGAAAATGGGCTACACTGGTCAAGGAGGCCTTGGCAAACTGGGTACCGGCCGTCGACTCCCTGTATCAACTGATTCACGCCTACACCAAATTGTGTTAGACGATATTGGTGGAGGATTTTGGCATCGACCCACTATTGATCAATTGGTTAAATTGAAGTCCGGAATCAGAAGAAAAAAGCCATTGCCAAAATCTGCACGGAAAGTTGAAGGTTCATCCACAAATAAATGCGAACCGGATTACTACGACGGATCTGTCTTTGACTTCCTCAATTCCCGAGTTCTGGTCATGAGCAGTATTGATCATAATGTTAAATCCCAAACATCAGTGACAGCACCTGGGAAGAAAATGTCAACAAAAGAAATGAATGTTGAGATCTACAAGATTCAAGTAAGTAGAACGATTAGATCCCACCTCTAACCTTCGCCTTTCCTTCTTTCCAGCGTGAAATTCATGCTACATTGGAGGAAATTTCCCGAACAGAAGACATCATAAGTCGCAATGATCAACGCGATGGAAAGGTTGCCAACTTAGCCCGACAGAAACTCTCCGATTTGAGACAACGATTGCGTCGCCTACATGAGCAAGAATCCAAATTCACTTCTCAGGTCCAAAGACAGAAATCTAATGCTAAATTACGGAATTTTTAATACACCCCTTTACGTTATATCTACTACCTCCTGTTTTGATATCGGTCTACCAACCCGAAAAGAGAGGCAGCATATTTTAAGGATTTGTGAGAATCCATTCTATATTAATATATAGACACATGAGTGAGATAATGTACATAGTTATAAGTGGAGATATAAACGGCCATAATGTATAAAAAAGGTACACACAGAGAGGAAGGGGAACGATAATATATATATATAGATCTACAATTATTACAATATGTACAGAAATACACATTCAGAGAAGAAGAAAGGCGAAAGAGCTTTACCTGCAAACATATACACAAAAGGCCGAAGGTTCTGAGCGCATGCTGATTGCAATAGGAAGGTCCACAATTTGTACAGTGAGTCAAGAGAAAGAGGGAAGAAGAAATTGTGAATGCTAGATATACTTATCACAGGCCGTATGGTCAGTGTATAGTGCGTGCGTTGTCAAATGCATTACAAGAGGAGGGAGTACAACTTACAGAGAAAGGTAAAAAGGCACCTCAAAATTTTAATAAAATCTCTGGCTGCCATGGAGATTATTTAAAATTTGGCTTCCACATCAATTCATGTCTCTAGAAACAAGAAATATACACAATCTGAAGCTAAATTCTAAGCTATTTTCGACCACCGTAGCAGCCTAGAATAAAAAACTATGAAAACAAGAAACTTACGAAAATTACAAATATCACCTTCGACGTCCATTATGAAAAGCAGCCACACGAGCAGGTGAAGTCCCCTTTTGAGAAGCGGAAGGAGAACGAAGATGCTTCGAAGTAGGAGGATGAGGTGAAGCTAGCAAATCGTCCCCATCTTGAAATGGGTTACTATCATCGCCATTAGAATCCTGACCATCGACATTAGGTGAAGAATTATTAAGAGATAGGGAGGATGGTGGATGATTAGAATCACTTCGACGCAAATATTCGATCTGCTCCACAAAACTCTGAACAAAGTCCGCGTGTTCGGTTAGCAGTTCATTAGACAAGTCCTTTATTCTCTTCATACCGTCAACTAACGTTTTAACTCTTTGAATGAGTGCCTTAAAATACACAAAGTCACGAATCTGATAATACTGTAGCCTTTCCAAACAAAATGTTCAAACTAAAAACTTGACTTACACGTGTTCGTTCTTCAATGTCTTTGGTATGGACTACAGAGATCTTCTTATCGTCTTCATCAAAATGGTTTAAAGACTCTTTGGAAAGAAAAGCAGGGGAAGCGGGTGGTATGGCTTGAAGGAAGATTTCTGCAAGGAGGTTCTGATGCGCTTGATCTGTTAATGAGTTACAGAGTAACCGGGGCACCTCGGGACAATCTATGCTTTCAGCACGATTACGTGGGAATGCTCGATCAAGAGCTGAATTAATTTTACCAAAATTGATACCTTCACTAACCATCTAAACAAGATTCACAGGGAAGTCGTTAGAGAACAATCAATAAAGAGTATCTCAATAAAACGTCCATACCATTGCTTCGCAATTCCTTAGACATAGATGTAGTCGCCAACAGGTTAGATCAAGTGTCGAAGTAGTGTCTACAGGGTTGTTTACATATTTGAACTCATCTTGAAGACTTCGTGAATCCAAAATATCACGGATAGTTTGCACATCTTCGTTCTCATTGAAAGGTTGACCAGAAGAAACACCTATAGTATCACGTAGTCCCTTGCTTCGCACAGCGCTAGGAGATTCACTTCTAGCGATAGCAGAATTTATAGAAAGCTGAGTACGACCACTCTCCAATGAGCGGAATTTGAGTTCAGCAAGTCGAAGGAAGTGATGCGCTTTAGATCCCTTATAAAAACCTGGAGCAGTAGTGCCACTGCTAGACTGGCCACGTTTTTGACATTGGTCCTGATTACCTTTGGATTTGTAAAGATGCATTCGCCTTGGTATGCCACGAATTGTTGAATCAGTTTCGATAACCTCAACTTTCAGAACCGATTCAGGGTCCACAAATGCTGCTGATGTTTGGGAACTTGATTGTTGTTGGACGGACGTGTTGTCCTGCTGCAGTTGATGCGGTGATCGCCAAACACTTTTACTTGAATCAAGGGGATCAGTTAGAAGTTCCCAAGTACATTGCTTTTTAATTCCACTAACACTATTACTCTGTTTTCGAGGTCTCTTTAATTGTTGCTGCGGCTGTTGAGTCGAAACAGAGGAGTTCCTCGAATTCGGATCAGGAACACGCACAATGGGCACTGTTGGTTGTGCACTTGCATCCATAGGAGTGGCAGGCTATTGAGAAAAAAATAAAAAGGAAAACAATCAACACCACACACGCCCTAAGTATTAGTTATTCGTGCACGTGACACGTTTAACGCACAAAGGTAAAACACATGCACACATTAAATAGCAAGTGACCAACCTTTGCAGGCTCTTTTCGAGCGATTTCCTCAACATTTATCGTCGTGATGGATTTCATTCCAGATGAAGTATTCAATTCAATCTTTTTGCTTGAGGCAGGCGGAGAAGGCTGAACACAACCCGTCGAAGAATTGTTTGTAACAGAAGGACTCAGCACAGTTCGTACAGTCTATGCAAATACAAACAAAAATAAGGGATATTCTGAGCGTTAATAGTACTCCTAAGAATGTGACTAACTTGTGGCCTGAAACGAACTTGAAGGACGTTACCACTAGAAGGATTTACTGTCGTAGCTGTAACGGTATTGGGTCGTAATGAGGGCATTTGCGTGACTGTTGATGATGGAAACACGTACATGGAGGTTTGCCCAGTGGAAGGAGAGGAGGGGAAAGAAGACGCAGTAACTAAAGACGCAGCTGGAGAAGTAGTGGATGAAATAGTTGCCGTAGACTGAGCACCAGCATTGAAATCCTCGTTACCTGCACTAACCGATGATGAACTAACAACAAGACTGTGAAATTGTGAATAATTCACAGAGGATGTCGAGAAGGAAGCTTGTTCAAAATGTGATCCACCTACACCTTCCTTTCCACTAGCCCCACTTCTTAATGGGTAAAGGCGGACATTCATTACCTGAGAGGTAGCTCCTGTAACAACGCTGCTAGAACCCGCCACGTTCACAATGGGCAATGAATTTGCAGCATGCTAAAGCAACAAGAAAACAATTAAGAGCATAATAGAGGAATTTATACAAACGAAAGCGAGCTCGCTTACTAAGGCTGCTTCTATATTTGGTGTTGATGATACTGATGAACTAAGCGCCTTTGATTTGTCAATTGTCGACGAACTACTTGACATTTCCACAAAGCTGACAACATTCTGGCCAGAGGGTGCCGAAGAATTAGTTATTTCTGTACCTTGTGGTACCAAAAGTTGTTGCTTACGTGCTCTTTTTCGAATAGGATTTAAAGTAGAGGAGTTTAAAGGAGATACAGGCGCAATAATAGGATGTCGGGAGATTGTCGTAGGGCGGTTAATAAGAATTCCAGTAGCATTAGGTCGATTTGGTGCGACTGCAATAGGAAATCTTTGTGCAGGTCTGATAGAGGTGGTAGATGGTTGGAAATTTGATCGCGAAGGTTCAACGGGAACTACTGAGATAAGGGGAGCGGACTGATTGGATTCTGTTGACGGGACGGTTGAATGAGAAACAAGACTAGATGCTTTTAAAATCGATTCGCCTCCAGAACTGTTCATTGTTACTGATTCAGTAGTAGTCAGATTACCCGAGGAGCAAACTTGAACAGTAGAAAGGGAAGACATCACATCCCTTTTACCAGGCTAAATACACAAAGTTAAAACACAAATAATAAAAAGCAAAGAAATCTTATTTAAAGGAAAAAGTGTTTACCCGGAGAGTAGTCAAAAGATTAGGTGAAGGGTGATTTGAGGAATCGATTGACACAAGCCGCGCACTTGAATTTGAATTTGGTATGATGGTTGGTAAATTTGATGCAAATCGGTTTAAATTTTTAACATCGGTATTTTGCATAAGGGGCATAATCTGATGAGATGATTTCTGTTGATTAATAATTATGGGATTGAAATGAGTTGGATTTGATTCACCGGTTGCGCTTTTCACATCAGAATCCGATTTTTTCATAGAAGTAACAGCTATAAGAGGTAATTATTAAAATAACCGGAGAAATTAAAAAATACGAAACAGTCGAAAAGTATTTACTAGAACTTATGACAATAGGTCGATCAGATGTTTGCTCATTTAATTGAAGTCGGGCATTTGAAAAAAAAGTAAATTGCTGTTGAACTGGCAAATGAGTGTCGGAATTCGAGTTAAGAAGTAGTCGAACAGAGGAATTTTTGGGAGTTGCATTTGGTTCGGTAGAATTTGTGGCGATTTGCGGCCGATTTACAACAGCTGGAACAGGTACCACTGGGACAGCAGTGTCCACATTCGTGGAATGCTTTGATGGGGTCCTGCAAAGAAGGATAATATTAAAAAATTAAGGCATACAAGTTGTAATGCACTAAGAATATAAAAAATATCCAGGTATTATGAAAGTTTCGTGATATATAGACAATGAAAAGCGAAATCTATGTTAACAAAGTCAGGCAATTAATCCGCAGTAATCCAATAAATGCTATTTCATATTTTTATAGAAAAGCAAAAATCAAACAAATAAAACGCAAAGTAAGCAATTAAACAGTAAAATATTTTCAGTATATGGACTAAATATTATATGAATCAAATACCTCATAATAAAACTCTAGCTATCAATATGGACGTTACAAAAAAAGCGGTACAAATAGAGCGCATCAATGACAACTAAAACAAATATGAGGAACATATGCAAATGTTATTGTATATTGCCTTCATTGTTATAAAAAACATAGTAAAAAAGAATTAATCATTTGCATAAATTGTTGTCTAGATCAATATATTTTATCATTGTGTAGGCTTTAAACAATTCGAAGTAACAAAATGTTATTTATTTTACGTGGCAAAGTTTCTCGCAATTTATTGAGTATTCTTATAATAATTAAATTTTGCATCGTAATAATTATTTCTACTTAATTTGTTTATATCCTTTAACGTAATTGATAGACATAATTAACTAAAAAACTCCAATTCAATTTAAATGAAATAACAACTTTAATCCTTGATCTGACATATTTAACTGGTCAATGTTGATGGGAACTTTCATTAAAAGTGTTTGAAATAAGTCAAACTCGAATATCAAAATAACCTATATTAGACCCCGTGTTATTTAAATTAACAATATCTACGCTTTATAGTTTATTGTGGTTATAAAGTACAAATTTCATTTTTATGTGCAATATATCAACTAAAATTTAATGGAATCAACGACTTAGTTTCTCACAAGGACACAATCCAATAAATATAGGTGTATTGGTAAACAATTATTTCACACAGTAACCATATGAAATGGGAACGTTTATATATAATGGATTCACGGATTAATATGTTTATGTAAGATTTCGGTTTCTAGATTCATATGAGTTTTCAAATATCATGAATCATTGACTTACAAGTTCATAATTAGTTTTAATATGTTTGAGTTTTAATTATGTAAAGATAAACTTACTCGGACTCCTGGATGAAGGTAGAATACTTGCAATTCGAGCAATGTTATTTTAATAAGTGCGTCAAAATGCATACATTCAATTTTACATATAGTAAATTATTGGCTACTTCTCAAACAAAAATTGTCTCCGCGATGGTCTTACATATACAAGTGAGCGCTCAGGAATAGAATAACAGTTTATCAAGGTTATAACAATCAGGATTAAGAGTTTCACTCATATACACCGAAAATATTAAAATCAGTTTCCTGGTTAAAATTAACTTAAGATCAGAGTTCATCGACCGCGCTGTTTTTACGACTTTAGGAGGCATTGAGATCAGTTTAAGATCAATCCCAAAAATTCTATTTTGAAATGAATGGATGTCCAAGAATTTGTTTAGTCTTAAGGAAGTGTAGTGTAAACAAAAATTTCAGACACACTTCAAAAAGAATCTAACTGTTAAATCAAGAAATGGCTTGAAAAGTGCATAGCTTATAAATTTCAATATCAGACTACATTAAGGCTATTACTTTCGTACTACATTTCAGGCCAGGAAAATGCATTTCGTATCCACTCCCAGGTGGATACAACCCGGGAATCTCAAAATGCAGACAATTTCTCATGCCCAACAGCTTGAGGGAAAAGCGCTTCGTGTATGGAAGGTGGAGGAGGTACCAGATATAGAGATTAGTTGAAGGAGTTGACGATGGAAAGAATCTGGCAGCAAGGATTGGCCGATGGAAGTCAGAGAATAGAGTTGGCCAAGAAGTTCAAGCTATGATGATAGAATGGAGTTCCAAAAAGCATGTTGGAAGTGCCTATGTTTGAATGAGACAGTCAATAATTTTGGAATCAAAATTACCCATAAAATATATTCTTTGATTTCGTTCACATTCAAAACTGCAAACAAATAAGAGTAACAAACGTTTTTACGAAACAGGATTTAAGTGAACTCTTTTAATCTTATTTATTTATTTATTTCAAATGGCAGGCATTTTGATAGATATCATTAGCCAGCCTCTTAAATTTTGCTAATAATAAACGTGAAAAATATGTCTTGAAGAAATTGAATCAAAACAGTCTATTCATGTAAACATACCCTGCTAGGACATAGGGAGAAGCTCATTGAAATGGGCGGGGATAATGAAACCGCATCGACGCAAACACTTGCTTTATGCGCATACTCATGCAACCATGCGTGGGTTAGATGCACATGAATTTGGGAAAAAGCGTAGGAGCTCATGTCCCAAGCGACGCTAACCGCCATCGGACACCCTGTGCCCTTAGAACTCTCTCTTATATCATCATAAGGCCGCCAAGCGACCCAACAAAAATTGCACCGGCCGACGATATTTCACGTCGTCCGTGCGAGCAATTGGGAGTAGTTTTCAACTAGCAATAACCGCGCCTCAGTTAGACTTCACTGGCTACGGTACCGCCACTGCGCAAAGTTGACCTATCTGGGCTCAGTTTAAACCCAACATAAAATAACTTCCTTGCCTACAGTTATTTTACATTCCTTTCTGCCCATTACCTTCAATCATTTTCGAATTTTTACCAATCGCATTTAATAACTATAAAACAATTTTGGCATAAATTTTATAATAATCAGAATATTAATTATTTTATAGTTTATTTTAACTCCTTTACTCCCACACATTTTAGTAGTATGTGGGTTCAAAGGGACTGAACATATGCAATGACAGTTTGCCTTGCGTTACAAAAAGAAGAATCTCTGAATTTTGGTCAATTGCGCATAGATATTTTTTATCTTCTGTTCGCGAGAAAATTGTTATCCATCTGTAGCAATGGCCGCTGAGTAGATGATGGAATGAAAACGTTGAACATCCCACACTTTTGTGGAATGAAAAATTAATTTTTTCTTAATTGATCTTCGTTGTATGTAGTCTAAGGGGTCTGTATTGAATCTATTTATATGCATCTCGGTTAACAATCCAGGGGTCATAGGAAATGCTATAAGTGGTAAAGTGAGCGGGGAATGTTAAAACTGCGATCGCAATCCCCCTTACTAAAATATTTGAAAGCATAAACGTTAAAGAAACGGTTTCTTCAGTCCCTTTGAACCCACATACTACTAAAATGTGTGGGAGTAAAGGAGTTAAAATAAACTATAAAATAATTAATATTCTGATTATTATAAAATTTATGCCAAAATTGTTTTATAGTTATTAAATGCGATTGGTAAAAATTCGAAAATGATTGAAGGTAATGGGCAGAAAGGAATGTAAAATAACTGTAGGCAAGGAAGTTATTTTATGTTGGGTTTAAACTGAGCCCAGATAGGTCAACTTTGCGCAGTGGCGGTACCGTAGCCAGTGAAGTCTAACTGAGGCGCGGTTATTGCTAGTTGAAAACTACTCCCAATTGCTCGCACGGACGACGTGAAATATCGTCGGCCGGTGCAATTTTTGTTGGGTCGCTTGGCGGCCTTATGATGATATAAGAGAGAGTTCTAAGGGCACAGGGTGTCCGATGGCGGTTAGCGTCGCTTGGGACATGAGCTCCTACGCTTTTTCCCAAATTCATGTGCATCTAACCCACGCATGGTTGCATGAGTATGCGCATAAAGCAAGTGTTTGCGTCGATGCGGTTTCATTATCCCCGCCCATTTCAATGAGCTTCTCCTTATGTCCTAGCAGGATAAATTCACATGTATAAAACATTCTGCTTCTGTTGTCTATCTTTTCGTTGATTGGTGATATACATACTTTCTAGATGAAGTTAAGCCACTCGTTTCACCAGACCAGCACAATGATAGTCAGGTGTCCACTCTAATTAAATGGCTGAAAGATCTGCTTTTTAATATAAAAGTGACTGTGCGAGACCTCAGTTACGCACTGGTCCTCGTGTCTTCGCATGATGGTTGACAATTGTGTTGGTAGAACAGACACAAAACACCTGGATGTTGTTAACACAGGTTTATTGATTCATTAACGCTTATTTTCATTCGTTTTATACAATGGAGTCATTTGCACAATGATTGTTCGTGTCTTGTACTAAAATTCAACCCATCAATAACAGACGTGCGCTGGTCTGGACATAAAGGATTGGATCGTTTAGCATTGTGGTGTTATTGGACTATATTTATAAGTAGCGTCAGTTTCTAAGGCATCAGTTGCCTAGTTACTGTATCCTTCAGAGACGGCTAGGTCATAATAATCCTTTAGCTAAGAGAGATTAAATTTATCTGGTAACTTTAAGTCGTAAGTGCGAAATTGTGCAAGGTGGTTAATGAATCTCTCAGGAGTAAGCTGTTTGATAGCCGAAAGAGGTCTTAAGTTCTTGTGCCATTCAAGCGTGGAAGAAGTGTTTACATAGTTATCGAATTATGTCGACTATCAGTAATTGAGGCGATAGCAGGCTTTAGAGGCACATAATGAAATCCTCGCCTTTGAACGAACACATTCCATGAGTCATACTAAGATAGAAAATAACAGAATAAAAAAACTGCGATAATTAGCTTGCATCGGTAGCATAAAAATAGATGGTTCAATCCCCCAGTCCTCAAAATCTCGAAAGTTCAGATGATACCTTCCTTCTGGCATATAACAACTTAGAGTTGGGTTTTGAAATAGATAATCATGAGGCTACAGGGAAATCGCATTCTCTGTACAGATAAATCATCTCAATTTTACTTTTTCACCAATAGAAATGAACCCACTGAGGAAAGGTTAAAGACAAAGAAGAGGCAATATTGTAAATCGACCTCAAAAGATATTCTTGTTTTTCGAGGATATATTTCACCTTCCTCCTGCTTTGGTAACAGTGATGTTTAAAGTTGCACAACTTCATGTTCAATTTGCATTTGCAATAACTGCAAAAACTACCCACTTATGGTCATATAGTTAATAGGGACAGACTCTGGAGTAGCCAGAGATGTGAGATAAATATACTTGGAAATAATAAAGAGCTGATAAATAGTCTGATCATACAGCCAATTTGAAAGTAGGCTGTATGAATATCAGTTATATGGACTGTGTGATTGTTCGTGATTGTCTAAAGTTTGTTTCAGAGTTATTTTCATGTCACAAGATGCCACTGATTTTGAGATAAGGAATAAAGGTTTGACCGAATCATAACGGCTAATAACAAAACAGTATCGTCCATTGATTTAAAATATTGAATTCATCTTTTCATTGAACTTAATCGATTAACTAATTGATTGGAAGTTGGAATGACTTGTTAGAAAGAGTGCAGAACAAATCTCCTGCTTCCTTTCTTACTAAGCCGAGCCAAATGTATGCAAAATTTAGAATAATGAGTAAAATATGAAAATGCATACATTTTAAAGTGTAATTTTTAAAGCATCGCTTTATTATCGACCAGAATTCGGAAAGCAATTTCATTAGCGCACTTAATACAAGACTGGCACTGTCGTTAGATAGCTAATTTTCTAATTTAATCGCCTGTTTATTAAGTCACAAGCAAAATTATTTAACTATAACGGTACATATGTGGCATAAGACGTTTTTTAGTATTAAATTATAAATAAGGACATATTTTACTATTTGGCGTATAATTTGATTATTTTCGGTTATATACCCGTTTTGTAAGTCGCATACTAGTAAGCTATCACAATTTATCATATTCTTCACTTCTTCTTCATATTCAGCTTTTCCATGTCTGGGGAAGAGATAATTTCCCTTAAAGTTGACCATTCTGCAGAGATTGTTGATGATATTGCAGTACTATTGAAAACCAAAGATTATAGTGACATCAGTCTAATTGTTGGTGATGTTCAATTTCCTTGTCATCGGGTTATCCTGGCCTCGAGATGTGACTATTTCCGTGCTCTTTTATTTGGTGGTCTTGCAGAAACCCATTCATCCACAATTCATTTGAATGGTATCAGTTCCGCTGCATTTTCTTATATCTTAGAATATATTTATACGGGAAAACTAGACATATCAGGTGCTAACGTACGTGTTCACTTTTAATTATTACCATTATCTTGGTTTCTCCAAATCTATTATTACCGTTTTTACGTTTAGATTGAAGATGCTTGTGATGTTCTGGGCTTAGTGTGTCAATATAACTTTTCGAATCTTCAAGATGATCTCTCTCGAAATTTCATTCAGTCTTTAAATCTTCAGAATGTCTGCCTTCTTTATGATTCAGCTATTACCTATGACTTGGAGGATCTTATAGATGCTTGTCTTCAAACTATTGATCGTTGTCCCGCTATAATCCTCAGTCAGCCTCAATTTTTACGCCTTTCTCGAGCGTCGGTTGTGCGAATGCTCTCACGGGATAGTTTTTACATTCCTGAGATTGAAATTCTTCGCGGAGTTCAAGCTTGGCTGGAGGCTGACTATCAGTCAAGGTTTGAAAAGTCCGCTGCTATTGTTGGCTCTTCTTCTTCCCCCTCTGTTTCTGCTTCCTTTGTCGATCAACAACAGCATCAAGTTCAGCAGTTTCCAAAGGATTCAACCATCCTAGCTTCAATGACTCTTAAGAAGAACTCGGGTCTACTACCAGCAACTCGTAGTAATTCATCCGAATCTCTTTTTAGTTCGGCCAGCACTTCAGATTCAGGGACTAGTGTCGGTGAGTGCTCCATGATATTGGAAGGTCTGCTCTGGGAAATGTTAACTTTAATAACTTTAAATTTTATTCCCTTTAATCAGATTAATTACTTGGTTTTAGTTCATATTTTGTCTTTTATTGGTTCAAATTGATAATCGATGTGCCTGTTGTATTTGTATTTATTCTCGTCTCGGGATCCTTTCACATTTGAAGAATAGGTGACACCAATTATTCACACAGATGTAAGATTTGACATTCTTTATCATAACTTTGTCATATTCTAGCATTTTAAGATTGCAAAGGATTTTTTATCTAGGAAAAATTTGCTCAGTTTGTTAAGGCTATATTGCAGAGTCTTTGTCTTGCATGATTTTGTAGCAATGCCTACCTTTAAGTAATTTTAATGTTTTTAGGGATTTTTGAGATTTGTGCCTGTTTTGGAAGCTAATTAAATGAAAAAAAGTTAATTAAAGAGAAGGATTGTGCATAAGAGAGGTTGGTAAATTAAGAGTTAAAATTCAGAATTTGAATTAGAGAAATTAACGCCCACAGAGGGGTCGTGTCACATTTTGCTACGCTGAGTATAGTTGACTGTTTTGTGTCTTTTATCGGTCTAGTGAATGACCAATAAACTTCATCATCTGCCCATTGGAAGACATCGTAGGTTGGTTCTAGGCGCCCCTACTTCTAGTCTTGCGCATTTATCCATTAATTATGCACCAGTATGTTATGCTCTGATTTGTGTTTTAATTGACCTTCATTATCTATCTTGCCACTTTTTCTCTAGGCGCAAAATCGAAAACGAGTGATTCTTGTTCTGCTGCAATAGATGAAGTTCGATTGCATCTGGAACATGAAACTGCTGAAGCAAGAGCTGAGTTGGTTGGATGCATTCGTTTCGAACTCATGACGCTTGCTGAACTCTCAACCGATGTTAGGGCGTCACGTCTTCTCTCTCCAGATGATCTGCTTGATAAAATCAGTGCCAAAATGAGAGCCACTCCTACTCATTTGCCCATCAGGGGGCGATTACGTAATTCAGCATTATATATATATATATATATATATATATATATATTAATACATTAACCTCAGCTCTTCTTTAAAATATGATATCTTCTATAAATGTTCCAAAAGGGTTCTTTTAGAAACAGTCGTTTTTGGAATGAAGTGTCTGATCAAAATTTACTTGTATCAAATGACAGGCTTTATGGTAGTTATCATTCGCTCTTTAGTTGATTTTGGGCTTCTCAGAGGGGGGGGGGGAACAGACAGTCACAAAAAGTCGAGAGGGGGGGGGCTGAAGAGTTTTTCACAGATGGAAAAGAGGCAGACACAAAGGTAGAGAAAAAAGAAAGGTGAGTATTGCCCTTATTAAAAGTACAGCTATTCGGACTCGAGAAAGAGCAAAAGTGAAGGCGGTTGGTTTCTTTATTTGGCTACTTGTTTAGCCAATAATTGCATCGGTGTCTTCTCCACAGGCAGTCGTTCTCACCCAGGTGTGGGCGTAGGAGTCCATTAATCAATAATTCAGTGCATGAGGGAGGAGGATTGAGAATTTCTCTAAAGCCCAATGAAAATACTCCAATTGGCCTTCTAACAACGTGCATTTGTTTAAATTGCCATATTGTCGAGCATTTTTTATCTTCTCATATGCTGCGAATGAAATCTCGCAGAGAGATTCAAATAAAAACAGGGAGTTGCAGCGATGTTTTCTGCTTTCTTATACTCTGGCGTTTTAAGCAATGTCTGCAATACGGTTGTAGGCGAGAAGTCTTATTAACCACACTATACACTCGAGTGAATATTTAGCTACAACAAAGGTGACGCTTATAAGTACATGTGGGGGCCTAGACTGCTTGGGTTGGATGTGAGATGTCGGAAAATTTTTGTACTTTATGTTCTCCTTTCATTTACCATAATACTATTTTCCCTTTTCAGTTCCTGAAGTCAATTTAGCTGTTTCTCGTTTGGGCTGCTCCCTACTAAAAGGCCAACGGGGCAACTATCCCTTCTTCTTTGTTGACAATGGCGGTGACCCGAATGAAACCGCCGATGATGATCAACAGAATCAACAATCTCATGGAACAGCTTCAAGACGCCGTCATCGTCATAATCAAAGTCGTTCAGTTTGGGATGCCAGCAGTGATTGGATAGCTTCCACATCCAGACCGTTTGATCGAGATCTTCAACTACGTGGGCGCGGAGATGCACTGGCTAACGCATCTGCTTGGGGCTTTATGGATAATGTGGCCATTTCGACCGCAGCTACTGGTGAGCTTGGTCGGATTTAAGCACCCTGAAGTGTTGGAAGCAATTTT